TCGGGTCTGTGCGCCTTCCCCCGGCGGAGCGGCTGGGAGAAAAACAAAGCGCCAGCCGCGGAGCCTGTCGTCGCTCCTGGGGCCGGGGAAAGTTTGCAGTTAAAGAGCGTGTGTGCGGTGGCGGAGTGCCTTGACGCTCTCCGCTGGGGTAAGCGCGGTATGTCCTTAACTAGCGAGCGGTAGTTGCGTTATAAGGTCCGTCCTTAAATACTTTAGGTCGGTAAACGTTCGAGTTTATCGGCGGAGTTCTTTCTAACGCTCTACGTCTCTCCCCCAGTGCAAAACGGATCCGTGCATCAGAAGGATGGGTTAAATGATGATGACTTTGAACCCTACTTGAGTCCCCAGGCCCGGCCGGTGAGTAAGAGAACCTGCTAACGGGCAGGAAGCGCCAAGAGCCCGGGGCCTTCCTGCTGCTCTCTAGCGAGGGCGAATTTGGCGTCCTTGCGCTTCCCCATCTCCACTCACTGCGTTTTGACGTTTGCCAGCTTTCTTCTCATAGCGTGCTATTTCATACGTGCCTTTCTCCAGGCAGAAAACACCAAAACCCGTTAGGTTGTGGTGGGTGAAATATAAAGGTTTTAGCAACTCTTTGGGGGTGTAAGGACTTCCTACAGTTGGTGTTCAGCTCATTTTTTTTTCTCAACGTGACTGTCTTGAAGTTACCATTTCTGCCCTTTCAGTTTTACTGTTATGACCTTGTTTCCTTGCTGGTGGCTGGTTCTTTACACCGTACGAGGAGGTGCACGATATTGCCTTGTGAAATTGCTTCACACGGTGCAGTTAGGCTCCGAAGGCTTCTGGAGGATACTACCGACCCTCTTATCTCTCCGCCGAGTAAACTGAAAATGCGTGTCATGGGGTTTTCTCTATTTTTCATCAAAAAAAAAAACCAAAACCCACAGAACGCACATGTGATAAAGGCTGTTAAGACTTTTTGAGAACTCTAGTTAGAAGTCGAGCTGGAGAGCTTGCGATCAGCTCCTGAAGGTCAGACTTCCAGATACTTTTCCTCTTAACCTTCTATTTGAGACTAGCTCCCCTGTTAACTGTTTTTTGTTTGTTTTTCTTTATGAGCGGTAGGAGAGTGACACACAACAGATGGAGTTCGGCTGATTAGCCGGTACAAGTAAGCATTATAAACATCTGTAGTAGGACTGGAGCAGTTAGTTTATTCTCTTGGCTTCTCTTTCCTCTCCAGTTGTGATTAGTAAAAATAAGCTCTTCTGGTTTTCCCTTTCTGTATTTTTTTGATCATTTTTACTGGTCAGTGTATTTTTTTTTCAGAGAAGCGATGCGTGTTTTATTGGAACACAAAACAGGTTTCTGTCTCAGTTAAATTTCCACAAGTATTTTCCTAGTCTGTGCTGAAGATATGAGGCTAAATATTCCTTAAGGTCCTGTCAGCTGTTCATAATCTTCAGAATTCAACCTGTCCCTTAAGGTAACTTTACTGCATTCAGCTCCCTAAAAAGTTACAAGCCTAAATTCGACCTGCGCAGGGCGAGAGAGTGTGATTACTTTCTCAAGTCTTGAATAAAACTAGCTGCTTTCCTAGTAGCTGTCATCTAACGGTGGGTTTTTTCTGTCCCAGAAATCAACATCACCAGTTTCCAGCTTCCTTCTGAATGTGGAAGTATTTCCTGCAAAG